ATTTTGTTTTGTTACTTATGGTTAAGGTTAGGGCTGGGTGGGGGTTAAGGTCATCTTGTTCGAATTAGAGTTTTCTCCATATAAATGAATGGAGAGTCCCCACAAAGATATAATCACAAACCTGCATGTGTGTGTGTGAGTGTGCGTGTGTGAGTGTGCACGCACACGTGTGTGTGTGTGTGCGTGTGTGTGCGTGAGTGTGCGTGTGTTTATGTGCGTTCATGTGTGTGTGTGAGTTTAGGAGGAAAGTGGGTTGGTACCTATGCATGTTCAAACCAAACCGATTGCACGTGGTATCTATTCATCTTAATTTTTAGAGGTTATACCTGGACAAGCCCACTAACTCGCTTGACAGGTTTGCTAGCATTTTTTTAAACAATACTGCCGATTATTTATATTGTTCTGTAACAAATATGTATTGAACTGTTTATGGCACAGGACATAGAATATTTTGACTTGTTCAAAGACGATTTATAACCTGCGCCCGTGTGGTAGCAGTATAGGCATTAAACAATGTTCTGTAGAATGAATACAACAACTTGCGATGTAGAAAGCATTACTTCTAAATAGTATGTAATTATCAATAACAGACAGACAAGCATAACAACCTGGAAGGTGTGTTATGTCTCATTAAACATTAAACTTCATCACAATCATATCACAGGACATGGACACATTTTTTATTTGTAAAGGTGCAAATGGAGAACATAACTGCCTACAGACGCTCCTCTACTTACGAACTTTCAACTTAGGAACTTTCAGACATACGAACAAAGAGCACTGTAAGTCCAAATTGTGTTCATTGGGCTCCCGTTTCCTGTCTGCAACATTAATATATTTTTTTGTCCGCAAATTCCGCCTAGTACAACTTCTGGCCGCTACTCCCACCGTGCAGCAGCGTAGCGTGCGTACTCCCAGAATCTTAGTTCTTTGTACTTGAGTATACCCTTAAAATGATGTTGAATAACGACTTACGAACATTTCAAGTTACGAACGGCCGCTTGGAACATATCGTGTACTATATATTACAATAGATATACGATTAAAGCTACCTAGTGTCAAAACTTGAGGAAGGAATGACTCGAGGGCACGTGCTGCGGCAAAACAAAAGGGGGATTATTGAGCTCAAAGAACAGAGACTGAAAATAAACAAGATTGCGAGGCATCAAAACTGGAGGAGTGGAGCAAGGAAGGGCACAAGCAACAAAAGGGTTTGACGTCAGTGACTGGACTGTGTAACACAGGACTAAGAAACACATAAATACAGGATTAACTTGGGAGCTAATGAGAGGCAGCTGAGAGTGACTTCCACACAAGTTTAGGAATGAGAAGTAAGACGAGAGATAAGTATGGCTTGTTATGTTCATGTCAGGGAGGAGACGGGAGGGTCAGGCATGCAGGACGTGACACCTAGCTATCTCTAGTCAATGATACAAAAGGTTATTTTAATATCAATATAAAGATGATATTGTTTAAAAATCCAGCTTCATAGCTTTTGTGTATTTCAATGCCACAGGGAACTCAAGCTTCTTGTGTTTGTTTAGGTGGGGGTTACATAGCTCTCATTCTCTGACTGTCATCACTTTGGTGTCAGAGTGAAATAACTGTTTGTAGTTAAGAGTTGCACAGTGGTCAGCACTTTATTTCATTATTGGCTGATGTACTGTAGCAGCTAATGATATAAAAACTACCATTAATATATTAACAATTATTATGTTATTGCCAATTAATACCTTTTTGGCAGGTATTACATTATTGGCTATTACAATTGCGGAACAGGTCTGAGAGACTAATGAGGTGTGGGGGGTAAGTTCAAGCTGTGGTGAAATCTTCTGGCTGCTGTTTTCTTGAGGTTCAATATGATAAACCCTTGAAACAACCCTAACCGTTGTTCTAATTTTCCTCCCTATACTTTAGCCTGGACAAAAGCCCCTTGTGTTTGAGAATGCCTGCAAAGTCACCTATGGTCAGAGATCAGTGAGGACAGGGTGTGTTATTGTTAGAAAGGAGAAAAGCTATTTTACTTTAGAATTTTTTTTTATTAAAAAGGCCTTGAAATACTGTACGTTTAACATTTTGTACAAGTGTAACTTGCAGCGGCAATCAAATTTTATTACATTTCATTTCCTTAACAAACCTGTATGTAGAGCAGCAACACAAAAAGCACTTTGCCTTGACCGTTCTAATTGCCTATTTACAATGTCATCGAATGTAGGACTAGGGTTGCAAAATTCTAGGAATATTCTTGTTAATTCCCATACTTTCCCGTTAATTCCCATGGAAAGTTTCTAATGTGGAATATTTCCAAAATTCCCCAGCTTAACTTCCCATGGAACGGAAAGTTTCAGGAAAATTTCCAGAAATTTTCCAGCCCTTTGCAACCCTATGTAGGACAGACAGTTCCCCATCCATTTTCTATACTCACTTGCCCTATGGGATTCATTGGGGTCCAGACCCAATACTGGAAGCTGCGGGCGCAAGGCAGGGAATAACCGAGGGTGCCAACTCATCATCGGGCACACTCACACACCCATCACAACCTGGCAATTCCAGTTCACCTTAGTACCGTTTTGGAAGGTGTGTGTGGGGGGGGACTGAAGTGGGGGACTGTGGGGAGATCATGCAAACTCCACACACACAGAGCTGGGGGTGACCCTGGTCTCCAGAGGTGTGAGACAACCATGTTGCTACTGCATCACCCTGGCATCCCTCCCAACAGTTATATGTAAATATAATTCCTGTCTTGCTGCTCTCTCTGATTCCACCTGAAAGAACACAGCTCCCAAAAAATCTAATGATTGGATTTTTAGCACCATTTCTCTTCCTTGCTTCCCTCAAAGGCTAAGATGGCCCAGTCATGCTTAGAGTGCAGTTTTCACCATGGACAGCAGATGGCAACCTGATCCTAATATTTAAACTAACATTTTTGGTAATCTTTATTACAAGTTATTATAAATTGCCGAGGTAAATTTCCTGACAACTTCAAACCTTATGTTCAAAGAGTAAACACAAAACCCAGTTTTCAAACTCTATTCGCAAAACCTTCAACTCATCGTGCAAAATCAAACAATCCGCTCAAAACTATTTTATCTTTGCTCAAAATCAAACCCAACTTTCAAATCACACACAAAGCCAGTGAATGCATAAACACTGAGAAGTCTTTACACAAAACAGAAAAAAATAGAAAGCACTACCAGTCATGACTTGTATAGAAACATGCGTACTGTGGGCTCCAAAAAAGGTTACTGTATAGAAAGAAGTAAAAAAAAAAAATCCAAATGATAGAATGATAAATGCATTGCATTAATATGTTGCATAACTGCCAAGCCAACGTCAAGGAATAATATTCATTCTGCCTCATCATCGTGTCGCAGGGCTGGGTCAGGACAGAGAACTGTCAACATCACATGCAATGGTCTCCCTTGCTAGGCAGACTGAGAAGAATACTCTGTGGAGACCCATCCATACCTTGACACTGAATCACACCTATGGCACTCGAATCCTCATCCAGCACATATTCTACGTTCTAGTCACCCATTGGATTCCTCACATGTTCTGAAACATGACTGAACAGCTTTGCATCATCGTGTTTAAATGACAGCTCTGTGCTGACTGTGATTAACTTTTGTGGCCTGTGTTACCTGTTTTTCACCAAAATTCACCATGAGGCAAAATATATTTTGATGAATGTGAATGTGTTTAGAGTTCCAAAAGATGGTGACTAAGATCTGCTAATTGTGTCTAACTAGGTGACAAGACAATTTTCTTATGCAGCATATTGACAGTCAGCCTGTATTGGAAAGTTATTCCAATATACTTTGTTCTTTGATTGTATCTTTATAACCTCTGTCGTAGCAATGGGAAAATCATGGTGACAATGAAGACAGACACTATAATGGATTTTTACAAATTATATAATCATGAGAAAAACTAGCCTTCGTGATGCCTTAGTATTACAACTGTTCTGTTATTAAATCCCATATCTCCTGCTTTTCCATTTTTATCACATTCAATGCTTTCACTTCTAATCGGAAATTCATCTTGGCAAGCAAACATACACTCCCATCTTCATATTAGTTTTCAGAAAATTAATTGGGAAGATATCTCAATATAGACGTCTGGACATTTTCCATTTATTTATTTAGAAGATACCAAAGCGATGTATTTTAAAAGCAGTATCAGCCAGTCCTTAGAGCAAGTAGAGTTTAAAGGCATTGCTCAAGGGTTCAGTGATGAAATCAATGGTGAAATCACTTTGACCTGGCAACCTCCTGATCACCAGCCTCCACCCAGCGCTGGACTGGCCATCTGGTATGTGGGCCAGCAAAATTTATCTTTTAGCCTAGAAAAAACTGCAAAACTTATAGTGGGGGACCCCAAAGTCCACAATCGATTTTACATTCCCGTCGAGAACCGTCTCCTCCTTATTTCACGTTTGAAATAGGTCTTATTAACTAAGGCTAGTGACAAAAGTTTTTCTTTAGAAAGGAAAAAAGTAATACATCCATGATACCCAGCCAGAGAAACATTTAACCTAAGAGGAGAGAAATTGCAGTTCAACTGAATTAGCTGTAATGTCTGTCATGTGGCTGTTTTGGACCGCATTGGTAAAAGATAATGTGAAATCTTGTGCGGTGACTACAAAGCTCCCTTCTCACTTTCTTGGTATTTTTTAACAGTCCCGTGACCTCGTAAAACAAGTTTTTGGAGAATTTGATTATCTTCAGCCACTCCCAGCAACGCTTTGCAGTGGCGGGCAACCAGCGGACAGCGACGCTTTTCAATTCTATTCAATGTATTTTTATATAGCGCCTTTCGCAACAAAGTCGCCCCAAGGCGCTTTACATGGGTGTGTTGTGATACATTACAACATTATTAAGAGAGAACAATACAAAAACAGGGGAAATGAAAGACAGAGAAAAGGAAAAAAAAAAGAAAGAAATAGATTTAAGAAAGAAAGAAAGAAAGAAAGAAAGAAAAAGAAAGAAAAAGAAGGCCCGATGACAATGGAGGAGAGGACCGTAACTTACATAGGCTAATAAGTGTTTGACTGACAGCTTACTGTGCTAAGCCTATTTTAGAGTAGGAGCGCGGCCAACGAGTTCCAGTGCGCATGCGCGCTTTTTACAACCATGACGGCAAGCCAAAGCGGGCGGATGGTTGAGCAGGTAGGAAGATGGGAGTGGTGAAAAATTTGCCGAAATTGCCTCCGTAAATCCCTGCTGTACGCTACCTTAAAATGACGCCTAGTTGCAGTTTCCTATGTTGTGACATTAAATCCATTTGAACGGCCTTTTGCGATTTAGTTTGGCGTGTCGGTGTGAAAATATATACGGCTAGCTGGTAGTGGCTTGCTAGTTAGCTGATGGTTAAGTATATCTGAGGTGACAGCGCACTGACAAGTACCTGTTCACCCGCCCCCTGTGTCTTGTAATTTTTCATCTAGAAAAAATTAATTCTTTTGTTTGGTTGACGCACCAGTTTGGAGCGAAGTCGAGAGTCCAGTTATCCTACCGGTGAGTAATTGGGCTGGCTAACAGCTAGCTCGTTAGCCGGATTTACTGTGCCTCTTGGCAGTATTAACGGTACTCGTGTGACTAACCGCGCGCGCTTTCTCAAGCCTGTATTTCTAAATGTATTTTCGCCTTTTTATTTCATCAGACACGCCTTTTATCTTGAAATTGGCTAGCCAGACAAAAACGCCAACTCCAGATTCAGGTTATCATTATTATATTTAACGCTTTTAGACATTTCTCATAATAACCGTTGTTCTTTCGGTGGTTTATATTTACAAGTCAAGAAACCAATAAATGAATGCGTACGATTTTAAAAAGTTTAATTTCTTTAATTCCTGTATAACGATTTGTTACATAAATATTACCTTTAGTAGTAAAAATAGAAATGTACATTAATTGTGTTTTTACAAATGTACCGAGGGACCTCATGCAGCCATGACACCCTGAATATGGTGTGATTTTTACCTTTCTTTAACCTTTCTTCAAGGTTTTTTTTCTATACCTCTGAGCCAGAGAGATGATTCCTAATAGATTTACACGCTTACTGCTGTCCTGAATTGGCAGGACTCCACCCCCACAAACACTTTTCTTGTATGAAGGGACTGGTACTCCTTAATTCTTCACTAGTTACCATTCGATGCTTGGATGATGTTTAAAACCCTGGTATTAGCTTTCGGGGCTGTTAAGGGGGCACAACTTTGTCCCAAGTCTGTTTCTTTAGGCACCATGACTGGTCAGTTTCACAATCCTTTCTCTCTTTGACCATTTCTTTTTTTTGGCAGAGCATGTTTGTCAAATTTGCCCTGGGATATGGTTTTACTATTTTTATCGCTACTATTGTCTCACAATAATAGTATTCATAACACAGCATTTGTTCCTCTTTGGTTGGTTTATTATGTGGGGCAAGGTTGCACTTAATTGACAATATTTACAGTACACCTGTAAGCTGGCATTCAAGCTCCCGTTATTCAAGTTCTCACCAAAACATGTCTGCATATTAATACCCATATCATGTATCCGAGTGATGTCCTAACAATACAAGTGGCATATGAGCCAGTATGTCTTCATGATCTGTATTATAAAAGAATTTAGAAAAAGCATCTGTTTACCAAATGCAAAAATTCTACATGAGGAATTCTACAACCACATGCCATGTAGTACTGAGGTCTGGTGATTGTCCTGGCAAATTGACAAGCATTATTATTGTGGAATGGAGCATTGTTGTCCTGGAAATGACCCTCCCCCCCCATAGCAGGCAAGAAATTGTGTATCACAAGATGCATGTGTAAAGACATTAATCCCTCTTACTTTATTAATCCAGCCTTGTGATGGAATGTGTTTGCTCAGGATGTCTCTCTCTGTATGGTTGCATGGGTCCATTTGTCAAGAGCATAGTGTCAGACAATTCAGTAGAATGCATTGTGGTTCTTCAGTGCTCAGACCTCTCATTCCTGAGCTCTTTGTAGCATTAGATCTGTAAATAATTGATGTGGGGTCTTGTTAGTGGTTTGGTACAAACATTGCTTCATAAATAGATTTGTTAAGGATGTTCTTACTCAGTATTTCCACAATTGTGTTAGTGCTTCTGCTTCAAACAGTCGCCCTCCACCATGGAAACATTTAAGTTTTGATGTACGCATCCAGCCCACTCTTCTCGTATCCCTTTCTGTCATTGAATTACCTGCTGGAAAATTGCCCAGAAGTTGACGTACTGCACATTAGGGACACACGCATGCAGTGATTGAATACTGTGACTAAATGTGTATGGTTCAGTACTTGCATCATTTAGTCGGTTTAATCGCTGCCACAATAATTATGTGAGGTATTAATAATGAATGTTGGCTTTAGTAACAGGCTTAAGTACGCTGTTTCATTCTGTGTATTTTTATTTATTCTCTATAGTTACCTGTTTGCTGTCACTGCTGCTGAATGTAATGAAGTACAGTCACATACTGTAGTAATTGTCTTGACTGAGTAAAAGACATTTTCAAAGTGCCAGTGGAGAATTCATTAACCGTCTGCTGTGTTGTCTTGGCTTCCAGACAGTACCATAGTATAACTCCATGGCTTCCCCTGTATCCAGTATCAGGTTTGATTTTGTTCGAAGCCATACAGGTTAGTGTTTATTTTTAATAAATCACCATTGTGCAACCATTCAGGTTCAGTTGCATACTGTTTTCTTGCTAAAACAAAGTAGCTGTTCAGTGGTTAATACAGCAACCACAAAAATACCCTTCCCATTATAAAAGGTTATACCAAGACTGGGGAAACCCAGTAGTCTGGCAGAAGACAGAACTAAGAAGAGACATTGAATTAACATAGTTTGCTTGTACCGTTTTACTGAAGCAGTTCCTCACATGGGCTTGTGTGCATGCACACATGTACGCGAGCATTTTGACAACAATGTGGTACTGGCAGTTCTGGGAAAGTCCGATAGGGTCATTCCATGTCAAGTCATCACACTTTCAGACCTCATCGCCATGGATTTTAATAAAACTTGGCTTGCTGATTTGGTCACATGAGTAACTCA